AATTTTAACTCTTCATACATATTTATAAACTGTCTAAATTCTGCATCTTCTGATTAACATAAAAAAAATAGGTCGTATTATTTTATTAGGCTCTTATTTATCCAAACTTTCAGTTAATAAAAACAAAGATTACATTTAGAATTGTTCTCGTAGTCGTTTGTTTTTTAATTTGTGGCTTATTGTTATAAATTCACATAACGCTGTTTGGAAATGGACTATTCAAATGCAAATAAGCGAGTGTCGAATCGACGAACTTTGGCCTTGGCATATAAAAAATAAGATGCGCCTCCTAGACAGGGTTGCCAGTGATGAAAAAAAAATTACCATCCACTTTAAAAAATATCTACCAAATCTGGAAAATATTTACCAATTATTTTTTAGTTATTTTAATAAAAACTATAGATTTGTTCTACTTTTTTAGTTATTTAAATTGAAATTAAAACTTGATATTACTTTACTTTACTTTTCTAATGATATGGTATTTGTGATCATCTTCTCGGTTTCTTTCTAACAAAATCGGAAATGATGAAAGTAAAGGCAAAAACGAAACTTCACCATTTGAAAAAACTTCCACTGGAGTTATTACCCTGCAAAAAATTGTGCGACTAATCTCTAAAGAGAGTATTCCGAGATTGGTCTCAATCAGGTACAGTTAGGCATTAATTAGTCGCAACCAGTCTCAAAAGGGTATTATTAGGGATGAATTAGTCTCAACTCATCCCTTACCGGTATAATTGGAGATCAATTAGTCCCTGACTCATCTCCAACGGGAATAATTAACGATTGAATGATATATACGCACTTAGTTAATCAAGTTTCATGTGCGGCGTTGCAAATAAGGAGAGTATTCGCCTAACAAACCTGAGCACCCTGGTTCGAATCGCAGCTGGCGCAAATTTTTATTTTTAATTTTGAAAAGTGACTAGTCGCTTTTTATACCCGTTCGGGTATAAAGGGGAACAATTAGTCTCTTCATAGGACATGCTCGAACAAAAGCGAACAGTTCATTCCATATAAAGCGATCAAAAGTGGTATTAGTCGATCCTTCCTTTGCGATTGCTCCCGGAGTCCTCCTCGATTAGTCGCATTTTTTGCAGAGTATACACCAATGTTTCCCAAGCAAAATTTTGTTTGCTATATTTTTGTATGGGAGTATGGTTTGCGCTTTAACCAAACCCATATAAATCAAGTTTTTAATATATATACGTGCATACTGCATTTAGGAAAATTCAACAAATTTTATGTATGTGTATGTATATAAAGTGTGCATTGAAGCATGCCAAAACTAATACAATAAAATGGGCTACACTTTTGGAGAATGATTTATAATATAAAGATAACTACGAATAATAAAGGGGGAACGAAAAGTTTTATTTGTTTTCAAACAAAATACTTAAACTAAAAAAAATATAAAAATGAAAAAAATTTAACTTTTTTCTACCAATTTTGGTAATAATTCCAAAGTGGCAACACTGCTTCTGGGTCTAAAAGCCTTCGTTAAAAATTCACTTATTCAGTATTTACTTAAGTAAATAAATAAACTCTCCTCTCTTCCATAATGCTAGTTTCTGAATGTCTCTCTGTTGATGTGCGATCTCTTTTTAATCAGTCCGCTTAGTTGTATTTAATTATGGTATTTTAATACATACTTACGTTGCTATGTATGTATGTGCCTATACCTTTTTATACCCTAGCGCCACATATTATAATTGCAATTTTTTTTGCGCTGATTTTATTAAATGAAATCGAAAGTATTGTAGCCAGTGTTGCCATTTCAGCCGTTTTCCGGCTAAATTTAGCCGGTTTCGAAAGCAAACAGCCGGCGAAAATTTGGTTTAGCCGGCAGCCAAATTCATTTTTCAATGCCGAACTGTGTTACATATGTATGTATATACAATTGGAAGACATTTTTTTCTAATCCGAGAAGTCTTCAAATACTGGGCCGATTTCAACGAATTTTACTTTAAGCATATACACAGCGACCCAAATATAAACTGGGACGCGACATTTTAGCAAGTTTTTGCTATTTTTCTTTAGTCAATTTAATGTTTATTCTTTTTTATGAAAATGTAGCTGATAGCTGAGAAAATACCATTTAAATCCAAAGTGCATACTTTGTGAAAATTTTGCAAATTTTCACCAACATTTTTAACTTTTTAATCAGCATCTTTAGAAATTTTAAATGTTAGTATAATAGAGTAAAAATTTAATGTATCTAGCACTTACCGCGGATTTTTGGCAATTTTGTTGTTAACGGTGTTTCGCATTTTTTACATAAAAAGAATTGTTGAGCATACTTTGTATGGCAAATATCGTAACACCGTCTTTAAAAAAAATGCCAAAAATCAGCGCTAAGACCTCGCTAGTTGAAATTTGCACCTCATTAAACTAGAATTGAATAGACTTCAAAACTGCATACCATAATTTTTTCTAAAGCTGACTAAAAAGTTCAAAAATTTTGGCGAAATTGTGCTGAAATTCCATAATTTTTGCACAAAGTCCGAAACCTGGATTTATTTGTTCAGATATATTTTCATAAAAAATGATAAACATTAAATAAATTAAAGAAAAAAAAGCCAAAACTTTCTAAAATGTCGCGTCCCAGTTTATATTTGGGTCACCGTATTTTTTTTTTTTTTTTTCAAAACGTAAGAGCACGAATTTCAATGTGTAGCAAAACTCTCTGGGATCTTATCTCTGAATAATTGTATCGTGGAGCTAACATCCATTAGTGATGCTTATTGTTGCTCTCTGACAGGCATGTGCAGAGAGTGAGCAGGTCCTTAAAAACGGGAACGCTTCGAATATATGGACATCATAATAAAATTACATAGTTAAATTGTTAAAGACTTAAATAGCGACAGGCTTGTTCAATACAAATTACTGGCCTTTTTCTCGAAATAATGTTGCCCTATTTAAATAATTCCCTTCGAATAAGCAAAAGTGCAATACCTTCTAACGGGTGATTTTTTAAGAGCTTGATACCTTTTTTTTTAAAAAAAACGCATAAAATTTGCAAAATCTCATCGGTTCTTTATTTGA